GACTTGAAGGATTTGAACTTTACTAAAATCTATTTGAGAAGAGTTGGTATGATTTGAGCGATGGGTAATTTTAATAGATCTAGAGTCTATTAGAATTGCTTCATAATATTCTCTAGTTTTGATAGAATCACCAATGAATAAAGAACCCTTTTGGAAGAGGTAGTCATTGAGTACTTGAAATCATTTGCTTTGAAGATGAATTTCATAATCTTCAAGGATTTTGACAGTTTGGCTATATGGGTTGAGTAAATAAGAACTTGAATCAGATTTTGGAGAAGTAGGAGGCTTTGAAGGACTGTTTTGAACGAAAGGTGACTTTTGAATAGTTTTTGGAGGAGTAACATAGATGAATTTATTTGAAGCAGATTTCGATGGTGTTGAAAGAGTACTATTTGGACTTTGAATCAGAGATGAATAATATGGACAATGTAATGTTTGAGAAAAAGGAAAAAATCTATTTTGAGTAGAGATGAGAATTATTGAATGGTCATGTTCAGTAGATCTGAATGGAGAAAGAATCTTTTTCTTTTGATCAGGAGGCGAAGTCTTTTGAGAAGTCATTTTCCCTGTAAAAACTCTCTTGATAAGAAATCTGCTAAAGAATTATCTTTTCCTTTGATAAATTCTATTTGAAAATCAAAATTACTTAGCAAGGTTTGCCATCTTGCAAAAATTTGTTTTGAAATCATATTTTTGATGTCATTTTCTAAAATCGGTTTTGCAGACTGACAATCAATTCTTAACAAAAAAGGTTTCATGTATAAATCATCTTCAAACTTCTTATACATAAAACAATGCTTAAAATTTCTTTTTTAACTGTTGAATAATTCTTTTGGGTGTCATTCCAGGCACCATAAAAGAATCTTACTAGTTTTTTTTTTTTAATTTGATCAGTTCATTTTTATTTGAGTATTCCTCCAAATCATGTCACTTGCATCAGTTTCGACTATTAATTGAGCATTAGGGTTAGGAATATGAAGACATGGTAAATATTTTACCTTTTGTTTTATGTGTTGAACAATTTGAGTATGTTCTTGAGTACATGGTTTAGGATTTTTCTTGAGTCTTTGATAAAGTGGTTTACAGATTATTCCTAAATTTTTGAAGTAATCATGAACATAATTTAAACATCCTAAAAATCTTTGTAATTGAATTTTGTCTTTGATTTCATCTGAAAATTTATTAGCAAACTCTAAACTTCTTTGAATAGGTTTTATAGTTTTATGAACAATTTCATGACCTAAAAACCTTATTTGAGTTTGGAAAAGACTCATTTTTGAAGCAGAGACAACTAAACCATTTTTATGAATTAGATTATAAAATAAATCTAGATGTTTGAAATGTTGATCAATGGATTTTGAAAATATTAAGACATCATCAATGTAAACGATTGCAAAATCACTTAAAGGGTTGATGATATCGTTCATAATATTTTGAAACTCTAAAGGGAGCATTTTTGAGTCCAAATGGCATAACATTCCATTCATAATGACCAAAAGGAACATTAAAACCAGTTTTATATTTATTTTTTTCATAAATTTGGATTTGCCAAAATCCAGATTTCATGTCAAATTTTGAAAAGATTTCTGCTTCATGTAATTTTTTGAGTAGATCTCTTTTATGAGGAATAGGATATCTAATCCATTCTAAAACTTTGTTTAGAGGTTTGTAATTGATTACAAGTCGAGGAGAACCTCTTTCTAATTCTACAGCATTCATAACATAGAATGCTGAGCATGACTAAGGAGACTTTGAAAGTCTTATAAGTTTCTTTTGAAGTAAATCTTGAATTTTTGTTTTACAATGTTCTTGTAATTCAGAAGACATATGAATAAATCTTGATTTAGAAAGGATATTTTCTCATCAAAGTCTTTGATATATGGTAATTTGACTATATGTTGTTTTCGATTCCAAAAGGCATTTGGAATATTTGAACAAACATTATTTTCAAAATTTTCTTTTATTCTTTTTATTTTATTTTGAATAAAGGAACTTGATAAATTCTTAGAAATTGTTAAACTATTTATTTCATTATTTAAGAATTTTACTTGATTAATCTTATTATTTAAATTATTTAACTCATTATGAACAATTAGACTAGCAAATTTGAAAAATATTTCTTTATTTTAAACTTTGGTACTTAAACCATCTTGATTAATTGAGAATGAGTATAATTGAGTAATAAATGGAGTACCTAGGATCAAAGTAGATGTTAGATTTTTTACAAGTATTAAAGAAGTTTTATAACAATAATCATTATTACATATATGAAGATTTGAAACTTTATATTGAATATTGAGTGATGAACCACTAGCGGTTGATAAATGATTTTTTGCTTTCTCATAGTATTTTGTAGGTATAATCCCTTATAGAATACAATTCATATCTGCACCACTATCAATTAGTGCTAGAACAATTACTTTGAATTCATTATTAATACAAAGGTTAATGCAAACATTCCATTTTTGAGAAGTTATTCCTTTTGAAGGATTAATTAATTTATTTTTTATTTGAGTAATTGTTTGATCATTTGTCTGTTCAATAGGTTCCTTGTCTTTTTCAACATTAGATAACCTTTCTTTTATTAGTTTTATTTCGGTCTTAACAATTTTTAATTCTTCTTGTAAATCTACAATAGTTATTGGAGTGGTTGATTTTGTAAATCTTGAATAAACTTCTTGTAGATTAAAAGGTTGAGTAAAAATTATTGGTTCTTTTTGTTTATTGAAAAATTTATTGCTTATTTGATCTTTGACTTCTTTATCTTGAATTTTATCTAAAAGTTCTAAAATCACTCTATCCTCATTTGTAATTACATTTATTTGATTACAAGTGCATTTCCCTATAAACTCACAACTTGACTCAAATTCTTCGGATGAAAAATAATCTTGAACAATATTGAGATTTTTATGATCATAGTCTGAAATGTTTAATTCATCTTCAGAACTATCATTATTAATAATTAATCTACTGATTTGAGCCTTTAATTGATCAGAAATATCTAATTCATTAATTTTTCTTAACATAGCAATTTTTTGTAATATGACCAGTTTTACCACATTTATAACATATTACAAGATCACGAGATTCTTTTTTATAAGTTCTATTGAATTTTTTGTTGAATTTTTTATAAGGTTTTTTATTTACTCTTTTTTCTTTATATTTTTCTTTTTGATCATGATTTTCTTTAGATTTATATTTTGAAAATCTTTTCTTAGAATATTTTTGTGTTTTGATGAGGATGGTTCAAAATAGGTTGATGTCCATATTGTTGACAAAAATCTCCTAATTCATTTCTGCTTGAAATTCTATCTTTTTTGAGCTTTACTTTTAGTCTTAAATCTGAATATATTGATAAGCCTTATTTATTAACATAACTAATGATTTCGTCATAAGTTAAATCTTTGTAAGGGATTTGATTAGTGTATTTTTCTCTTAGAGTATTTCTTATTTTTTTTGCAAATAGATTGGGTAGACATGCAATAAACATTTCTTTCCAATAAGCTTATTTGCAGTCTGGTCTTAACATAACTTTAGTTAGGAACATATCTTTATACCATCTAAAATCTTGAAGTTTTCTACAAGTTAGATTTAAGAGTATTTCAGCACTCTTTTCTTGGAATAAAGTTGGATCACCTATATAATTTTTAATAATAGTGTATATTAACTTATTAATAATATCATCTTCTTGAGTAGTAATAAAAGATAAAGATATCTAATTCATTATATATATATATATATATATATATATATATGGGCCTAATCAAATGAGAACTAATTAGTTTGTGGTAACTGTGAGAANATTGCATTTCATAAGCACATGTGAATTTATCCCGTTTTATAAGCATGTACACAAGTTTAAAAACGTTAAAACAATTAGCATGTGAATCCCAAAGTGTGACRTCACATACATGCAAAACCCATAGAACATAATACAACAATGTACAAAATAGTTTGTATATAATATGCATCATAGTATAACTTTCATGAAAACTCACCTGGATAGTCTCTGTTTAACTAAACATCCCTTATTAGTGTCTTTACTTAACAAAAAGTYAAAGCCGGTCAACTTTTGTCAAACGGGTCAACTCGTTAGTTGAAAGTGAATGGACAACAAAAATTCCACCTCTTGGGTTCCTTATGGGCACCAAACTATTAAATCAACCATCTAGCATGTCTTAGTGTTGATTTTATTTCACATGATGCTCTTATAGTGGGGCGGTGAGGACTCATTTGAAACGYCGGTTAAAAACCACTTGGGTAGGGACAAATCCAATTTTCTGGGTGCCGCCAAATAATTATCGTAATATATAATAAAAATAGAATTTGACTTTTTAAATRCCGGATAATATCGATGATGACACGGGATAAGACTTATCCATTTACTAGAAGCGTGCTTGCGCAATGAAGCGAAATATATATCGATTTTAATGTTTCGTTTTATTCCGTCTAGTAAATGTTTTAATACAGTTTTTATGTGGTTTTRAGAAAGAGATAATGTTTYTTATTTTTGAAAAATATAAATTTGAAGATATCATAAAATTTCAAAAATAAATATATCAATATTAGTATCCAATTAACTATTTAAAAATTCTTGTTTTATGTGTAATTTCTTTAATTCAATTTTTTTTATTATAATTTAATTTAGATTTAATAACGAAGTAATTTATTTTTGGTTTAATAATATAATTTTTTATAAAAATAATAATTAAGTATTTTGTTAKAACTCAATGATTATCCTAATTATATTTTAGTTTTTTGTATTCAAAATAAAATATTTATTCTCTATTTGATTATGTTTATCTGAAGTTCGTTACACTAATTCAAACATGAATTTTTAATAAGTTGTACTTATGCACAGTTTATTTGTAATCTTGAGTTTTAANATGTGCTTGGGTATCACATTGATGTCGTTTGTGTGGTCGATCGAAGATGTAACACAGTGGTATCACTATGCATCTTATATATGATTAGGTATCACAATGTATCTTATATATGATTAGGTATCACAATGTATCTTTTGTTTAACATAGTCAATATTTTTAGGTATCACAAGATATCTAATTCATTATATATATATATATATATATATATATATATGGGTCCCAAAACTCATTAAAACTAATAATTGCAAGACTTATCCAAAAGGAAAATATTATGTTTTTGAAATAATTTAAAACAGACAGTATTATTATCCTTTTGGCCATGTGATCCTTACTTTAATTCAAAATTAAAGTTGGAACTTTTATTGTTGTATTTAATAAAATTCAAAATAAAAGAAAAATAGGTATGATAAGATTTATGTATTATGCAAATGCAAATGCAAATGCAAATGCAAATGCAAATGCAAATACAAATGCAAATGTAAATGTAAATGACCTGAATATCAAAGGGTGCTAGCATCGGCATATAGTCTGCCAAGTTGAAGGTTCCAAGCAATTCAGCATACTCGTCGCTTAATCTTGTGAAAACAAATGTTTGATCGCTTTTTCTTCCAAAAATCATCCTGAATGTCATGTCTTCGACCAAACCACCCACCACTTTAGTCAAATTCACCGCTTGATGTGCGATGGATGCAACTCTCATCTCCTCCACCATCAACCCAATCTCCTCCTTTCTAATTCCTGCAAATCCATTGATCTTCACAGGACTCAACAACTCCGTTATACAAAATTTTCTGATATTCCGCCAATATTCACCATAATCTGACAATAATATCCCCTTGTTGCCATGATAAAGATACTTTGACAATTGGATTTCAGGCCGAGATGCAAAAATGGCATCATGGGTTCCAAGGAATAGTTTTGCAGCATCCGGAGAAGAAACTATGACTACGTTAATCGAGCCTAGACGAATGGACATGATAGATCCATACTTTTGGGATAGCTTGTGGAGGGCACGATGAGGGAGGTTTCCTAGTAAGTGGAGGTTTCCTATAATTGGTAGCGGAAAAGGGCCAGGCAGGAGTTTTTTGAGATGGACATGAGTCGAGTACCACCACCACAACAAGATTCCGGTGAGAATGAGAAGCATAAAAGAAAACATGGTTCTAGTTCTAACTTGCTTTCTATTATAATATATGTATATATATATATATATATATATA